TGCTGACGGGAGCGGGCTGCGCGCCGCCGAGGCGTGCACTGGCCGCGCCCTCCAGCGAGGGCGGCAGCAAGCCGACCCCCCCGCCCAGTGCCCCTGCCACCGTCCCCCTCCGCGGGCTCCCCAATGCCGCCGCGAGGCCCCGGGGCGCTCGGGAGCGCACGCCTGCCGATCTGCCGTGCGCCTTCTCGCACGCCGAGGGCCTCTCTCGCCGCTTAATCCAAGGAAAAAACAACATGTCGAGAGGCCTCCTGCTCCTCCTGCTCCTCCTCCTCCTCCTCCTCCTCCTCCTCCTCGTCATCGTCGTTGTCGTCGTCGTCGTCGTCGTCGTCGTCGTCGTCGTCGTCGTCGTCGTCGTCGTCGTTCTCCTCCTCCTCCTCCTTCTCCTCCTCCTCCTCCTCCTCCTCCTCATCCTCCTCTTCCTCCTCTTTCTTCTCCTCCCCTATCCTCCTTCTCGCCCACCCTGGGCTGGCGGAGTGCGCGAAGCGACTCGATGCATTATAAGGAATTACCCCAGTGCGACCCTTCCTAGAAGTTGGAGCCCCTAGGAAAGCAGCATTAGTTGCTATGCTATGCTATGCTATGCTATGCCATGCCATGCTATGCTGCGTTATGCTATGCCATGCTATGCCATGCTGCGCTTTGCTATGCTATGCTAAGCTATGCTATGTCATGCTGCGCTGTGCTATGCTAAGCTATGCTATGCTATGCTAAGCTGCGCTATGCTATGCTATGCTGTGCTCTGCTATGCAACAACTCAGCGAAGCTAAGATGAACGTAAGCTAAGCTAAGATAAACCTGAGCTAAGATGAAGCTAAGCTAAGCTAATATGAAATAAGCTAAACTAAGATGAGATAAGCAACGCTAAGCTAAGGGGACGTAGCTGGGGGAACCGCGGGGCGGATACTGGGGGAACCGCCCGGGGCGCTTTCCACTGCCCGGCCCCTTTAAGCCCAGAGAGTAAGAACCCTTCTAGGCAGAGCCCAGGTAGGGAACACACAGCATGAACACAAACTGTCGGAGCTCCGCGCGGACTTCTTGGATCGGCGCTGGGCCACCCTCCCCGGCGCGCGGAGCGCGCTGGGGGCGGGGCCGAAGCGCCGCCACGGGTGTCCAGCGCCGGCCCAAGAAATTCGGTGATGGACAGAGCCCCGTTTAGTAAAACGTGGTTCAGTGAAAACAACCTCGGGCCCAAACCTGGCGGGCGCAAGCCTGGGAAATGACGGCCGCGGCGCCCTGTCGGGAACCGGAGACGGACAATTCACTAATCGACGTGTCAAGGTAGGGTTCAGTCGGGCGTGCCCCCCTACAGGGGGATTTTCGACGAAAAATGAAAATACTCCCAAAATGCCCCAAACAGGTCAAAAAATACCCAAAACAAAAATCCCCAGACCATTTTTCGACTATTTTGGGGTATCTTTGATTTGTCGTCGAAAATCCCCCTGTAGGGCGACAGGCCCGACTTCAAGGTGGGGGTTCTGTCAACCCCGCGGCCCAAGAGGTTGGCGCGGAGCTCCGGAAGCCTTCGTCCCTCGCTCCAGAGCTCTGTGGCGCCAAACCCCGCCAGGCCGGGCGGCGCCCGGGCCTCGTGCGCACCGGTGTGCTCTCGCGCTCGCTCTCTCTCTCTCTCTCTCTCTCTCTCTCTTTGGGGGTGCGCAAACATACACAGGAAGCATCTATACACCACCACCGTGCCAAGGCAGGGTCATTCTGGCCCTGGCCTGGCACGGTGGTGGTGTATAGACGCCTTCGTCGGAAAACACGGCTTAGCGATCCATGGATTTGGCGCGCGGTCGCCAAATCCATGGATCGGGGGAAGTGCCCTCCCCAAAATGCGGCCGGTGCCGCCCCGTGCGGCGGCGGAGATCCGCGATTTCCCCTGGAGACGCACGTCCCCTTTGATCCATGTTTGCGATCGCCTGATCTATTTCCCCCGCCTCCCCCCTCTTTCCTTTTCTCCCTTCTTCCCCTCTCTTTCCTCCTTTTTTTGTTTTGGAGGCTGGGGGACGGAAAACGAAATGACCCGTAAACGCGAGATCGGTTTCGGTTCGTGTCGTTTTGGCGAGGCGAAGGTGCGCGAGGCCGACGACGAGCCAGCACAGCCAGGGCCACCTCGTGCAGCAAATTTCTCCTCTGGCTGCGCGGCTCCACGCCGTGACTGCCCCATGCTTGCCCCGCACGTCGTGTCCCCTGTCCTGCGGTTGTCGTGTAGGTTGTCAGCTGGATCTCCCTGTGGTTGTCGCGTGGCCTGTGCCGTGGGTGTCTAGTGAATTGTCCCATGGGGTGTCCCCTGGGTTGCCCCACGGGTTGTCCCGTGGCTGTCGCGTCAGCTGTCCCGTGGGAAGTTGGCATCGGATTGCAGATCCACTGACAATCGGAATGCATATCGACATGTACATCGTAATTCACATCCAATTCCACAGCCGAGTACAAATCTGCAAACACATCGAAGATGATTTCGAATTCGATATCGACACACACACACATCAAGCTTCACATCGAAATGCATATCATGCAACTGTGCATCGTACTGCATTCGAACGCCAAATCGATATGCAACACCAAGCTCAAGTGTCACGGATATCAGCATGTGAATCATCCTGTAATGCAGCATGTAATCAACATGTAAATCAACATTCACGTCGAATTTCTCATCGGAATGGGAATCAAAGTACAAATCGAAATGTACACAGAAAATCCACATCGACCTGAAAACCAATACGCACATCGACATCTTGTCGACATGCGAATCCAATGGCAACCCATACATTGTAATTCTCATCGGGGAAGGAATCAACATGCAACCGAAACTGCTGCGGGGATAATTAACTTGCGCGGACAGTTCATATCCGTGTTCAAGGGCCCAACATTCAGACTTGTACTGATATCGGCGAACAGATATCTAGTTCGATAGCTAGTGAATGATGAGGTCGACCGGCAGGTCTCGACATCAATCGGTAGACAGTGGAACTGACAAACATATACACAATGTGCTCGGAAGGTGGATCGTGCTGCTGGTAAACGAAGTCAAAATACGGATGTGTCGCGAATCCGACCGCAGGCCAACCGCAGGCCGGCAGCTGCGCCCACCCCCACACAGCCTTCTCCTTGCCCGCAGGGCTGTTTCCGATGTGCACATAATCGGCGGCAAACCCAACCTAACCACATGAACCCGCCAGGACCCCTACAGAGGCAAGCTCTGACTGGGGGAGCATGCGGCGCTCGGGGTGCCGCGCGTGCGGGCCTCCGCACGCTGTGCCCCGCAGGCTGATCGCATCGTCGCTCCGCTCCGCGGGGCGGGAGGCCGGGAGAGGCTCAGGCTCGCTGACGCCCAGGGGGCCGGGACACGGCCGGCGTGCGGCGCCGAAGCGTGGTGGGCCAGAGGTGGCGGCGCGACGCGCTGAGCAGACGTCTCCGACCGTGTCCTCCTCCTCCTCCTCCTCCTCCTCCTCCTGTGCTCCCAGCTCTCAGTTGCCTCCTGGGTCTCGTGCAGGCACAAGCCAAAGGCATAGTGGGTATGCATGTCACCTGACAGGACAGACCAAGAAAAGAGAGAGAGAGAGAGAGAGAGAGCGCGGGAGTCTTTGGGCAGCTCAGGCTGATCCAGACCCCTCACCTCCTGCATCCTTCCCCGACTGGGAAAGCGGCCTGGGCGGGATCCTCATGACTCAGGGAGTCCCGGGAAGCTCACCCTTCAACAACTTGCGTCTCCTCGTCGTCGTTCTTTCCCCCGAACCTCGGGTTGCCTGGGTGCTGGGGGCCGGCGGAAGCACGCGAATGGTCTGTGGTTAAGCATCTGATTGTACTTTGCTTCAAGAAACCGTCTTGCTTGTTGATATTCCACGGGATATTCCCCAGGGCGCCCTGAAGCCCCCATAAGGTTAGAGTGCCAATCTCCGCCCACGTACTTCCGCCGATCCCCGCCTCCGTCGGGGCGGCAACGGGGAGGCTCCGGCCCCGAATGCGAGGGGCGAGGGCGGCGCTTCCCGGCCCGTCGGAGGCGGCAGGGCTGGCGCGCCAGCGCGTCGTGACCTCGTCGCCCTCGCCCCGTCGTGGTCGTCGCGGTCGTCGTCGTCGTCGTCGTTGTCGTCGTCGTCGTCGTCGTCGTCGTCGTCGTCGTCGTCGTTGTCGTCGTCGTCGTGGTCGCCGTCGTCGTCTTTGTACCGTCTTTGTCGTCGTCTTTATCGTCTTTGCCGTCGTCTTTGCCGTCGTCGTCGTCGTCGGCGTCGTCGGCGTCGTCGTCGTCATCCTCCTACCCTTCCAGCTCCACCTTCGTCTCCTTGTCATGCTCGCCGGGAGGAGACATAGGAAGAGGAGGAGGAAGAGGACGGGGAAGAGGAGGAGGAGGAGGAGGAGGAGGAGGAGGAGGAGGAGGAGGAGGAGGAAGAAGAGGGGGAGGAGGAGGATAAGGAGGAGGAGGAGGACCAGTGTAAACCCAAGAGTCATCAACGATGTTGGAATTAACCATTCCTCCAAGCTCCCTCTTCATAGGCCCCTACATCGGTTCATGTCTATTGAGGAAGCTGCCTCGTTGGAAGACAACCGTTTGAAGATCCTGAAGCATGCCAAAGCATTGTTCTCGGGATTTCGACGCCAGGTATCAACTTGACTGCTGCGTTTTGGCGATCCGGAATCATGCCATAACGCCGTTTTTTGGATTTCAACACCGCGGACCAACATAACTGCTGCACCCGCATAATCCTGAATCCTTCCAATACGCAGTTTTTGGTACGTTGATCATGGGAATCCGTGAAACCCTCGCAAATTTTCAAAACGAATGTGCGCGGCGCTAATGCGAGAACCACATTTTGAAAAGGAGCCGCCCTCAAGCCGTAAAACTCTCGCAGAGTTTTACAAATATTGTGCGCGGCGCTAAGGCGAGAGCCACATATTGAAAAGGAACCGCCCTCAATCAATGAAATCTGGTATTTTTGAAAATAATGTGCGCAACGTTAAAGCGAGAACCACATTTCGAAAACGACCCGCCCTGAATCTGTGAAACTCTTGCATTTTTTAATTTTATAAAATATGTGCGCGGCGCTAAAGCGAGGACCACATTTTGAAAACCACCAACGCTCAATCCGTGAAACTCTTGCGACTTTCAAGAACGAATGCGCGCGGCGCTAAAGCGAGAACCACATTTTGAAAACCACCCGCCCTCAATCCGTGAAATTCTTGCAAACTTTCAAAACGAATTTTCGCGGAGCTAAGACGAAAGCCACATTCTGAAAACGACCCGCACTCCCTCTGTGAAACTGTTGCCACTTTTTCAACTTCGGAATCACAAATGGTGAGGACGTCTCAGGCGAAACGCCCGGCCCGTCCTAAAAACTGGCCTCGGGGTGCGACAGGGAGGAGCTATCTATAAGAAGAAGGAATGGATGATGATGATGATGATGATGATGATGATGATGATGATGATGACGATGATGATGATGATGATGATGAGGAGGAGGAGGAGGAGGAGGAGGAGGAGGAGGAGGAGGAGGTGGAGGAGGAGGAGGAGGACGAGCAGGAGGAGGAGGAGAAGGAGGAGGCGGAGGGGAAGGGGGAGGAGGAAGAGGAGGAGGAGGAGGAGGAGGAGGAGGAGGAGGAGGAGGACGAGGAGGAGGAGGAAGAGGAGGAGGAGGAGGAGTAGGAGGAGGAGGAGGAGGAGGAGGAGGAGGAAGCGGAGGAGGAGGCGGAAACGGAGGCGGAGGAGGAGGAAAAACGAGCCGGGATGAGGGCGAGGACGACGAGGAACGGGCTCGCGGATGGCAATGCCGCGGCCGAGGCGCTGACCGCCCCCGCCGCCGCCCTCGGACTGCTGCGCGTAGTAACCCCCGCCGCCGCCGCCGCCCCCGCCCCCCCCACCGCCCCACTTGCCACGGCCCTTGGCGCCGCCGTCCTTGCCGCCGTCCTTGCCGCCGCCGCCCTTGGCGCCGCCGTCCTTTCGGGGGGGGGGAGGGAAACGCGTTGGGGGATGAGAGGGGGTGGTGCGGGGATGGGAGGGGAGGAAAGGGAGACGGTGATAGGGGGCGAAGAGAACGGAGGCTTGATGGGGGTAGGGAGGCGTGGGAAGGAGGGGTGAGGAGGAGGAGGAGGAGGAGGAGGAGGAGGAGGAGGAGGGAGGAGGAGGAGGAGGAGGAGGAGAGGAGGAGGAGGAGGAGGAGGAGGAGAGGAGGAGGAGGAGGAGGAGGAGGACGAGCAGGAGGAGAGGAGAAGAGGAGGAGGGGAGGAGGAAGAGGAGGAGGAGGAGGGGAGGAAGAGGGGGAGGAGGGAGGAGGAGGAGGAGGAGGAGGAGGAGGAGGAGGAGGAGGAGGAGGAGGAGGAGGAGGAGGAGGAGGAGAGGAGGAGGAGGAGAGGAGGAGGAGGAGGAGGAGGGAGGAGGAGGAGGAGGAGGAGGAGGAGGAAGGAGGAGGAGGAGGAGGAGGAGGTGGAGGTGGAGGAGGAGGAGGAAAGGAGGAGGAGGAGGAGGAGGGGGAGGAGGAGGAGCAGGAGGAGGAGGAGGAGGGGAGGATAGGAGGAGGAGGAGGGAGGGGGAGGAGAGGAAGAGAGGAAGAGGAAGAGGAGGGGGAGGAGATGAAGAGGAGGAGGAGGAGGAGGAGGAGGAGGAGGAGGAGGAGGAGGAGAGGAGTAGGAAGAAGGGGAGGAGGAGGAAGACGAGGAGGAGGAGGAGGAGGGGGAGGAGGAGGCGGAGGAGGAGGAGGAGGGGGAGGAAAAGGAGGAGGAGGAGGAGGAGAAGGAAGAGGTGGAGGAGGAAGATGATGATGATGATGATGATGAGGAGGAGGAGGAGGAACAGGAGGAAACGAACAGGAGGAGGATGGCCATAGTATACCCAGGGTCTATTTTCAATATCACTCAGTGGGTGATCAATCGAAAAAAGGAGCGCGCGCGCTTCTGGGGCAATAGCCCCAGTCTGAGAAGGCACCGATCTCCATCATCGTAGCCACTTCAAGCTTCTGAAACGCGTGTGCGCGGTGCTACGGCGATCACAATATACTTAAAGCGACCCAGCGTCCATATTCGAACCTGTTGTAAACCTGTTGCGCGAATGTGCGCGGCACTTTAGCGAGAAACGCATCTTGAAAATCATTCGCCCTCGGTCCTTGAAGCTGCGCGATTAATTAAAGCGAATACGGGGGGGGGCTAAGGCGCGCTCCGTATCTTGAAGACGACAATGGCCCTCTATCCTTGAACCGGTCGAAATTTTCAACCTCCGCGTGTTAATCAATAGCGGCTTCCCGAACGAAGCGCCCGGCCTGGCCTGCGGACGCGTTTGGTGGTGCGAAAGGGGAAATTTTTGTAAGGAAGACGGGTTGAGGAGTAGGAGGAGCAGGAGTGAGGAAAAAGGGGAAGGAACGCGGGGAGGAGGAGGATGGGGAGGAGGAGGAGGAGGGGGGAAGGATTAGGATAAAGCTGGTGGATGGGGACGGGAAGCGTGAGGATCACGAGAGGAAAGGGAGGGGGAGGAGGGGGGGGAGGAAGATATCGATTGAGCCGCATGCGGGGGCCCAGTCTGGATGCGGCGCAAACTGTGCCGCTTCTCGTTGGCCGAAAGGTCCAGTTCCTATCGAGACGCTTCCCGCTGGCCGAAGAAGGGCCAGTTCCTACCGAGACGCTTCTCGCATTCGCAAAGGAAAATCTACTTGCCACCAACATCACCACGCGTCGCCAATCTGGAGATGTCATCCCGCTCTTCGGCGGCAGGCCTCGTGGGAGGCGAGAGAGCGCGCGGGCGCCAACTCTGGTGGGTCTGCCACTCGGCGGGCAGGCCTCCGCGAGGAGACGGGAGTTCTGTGTCATGGGTCTCCCGCAGACTCGACAGTGCAGGACGCCGCGAATTACATTCAAGCCGTGCGTCGAGTGAGCACCGGGGGCCCCTGGGCGCGCGATTGCAGCTTCACGCCCCTCCAAAGGTCTTGCTTCTCGCGCCCCCAGGCGCCGACCAGGAAAGACAGAATAGACTTGGCCTCTAGCGGCCTCGAAGAATCGCCCACATATCATGCAGTTGAAGCAACGAGCGGAGGGGGGGGGCTTGGGGCGGAAGGGTCGCCCAACGCGGTCGGCAAACTCCCTCTTGCAAGTGGGGGCGACTTCGCGGCTGACATCGAGGAGTCGCCGAAAGACTTTCTCCATTATGGCGCCCACCTCGCGCCAAACGGGCCCGCGCTCCTCTGGCGCCCCCCCTGGAGCGGCGGCCCTCCCGGAGAAAAAACGGGGCCGGGAATTCAGGGGACCCTGGGCCTCAGGAGTGCCCCAGGTCTCGCGGGGCGCTTCGGTGGAGTGCGCCTTCGTCCACGGGAGCTCCGAGCGGCCTTGGCGAGCGATCGCGGGGCCCCATATCTGCATCCAGCCGTCCATCATGGGGGGGGGCGCGCAGGCCCGATCTCGCCGCGAACTCCCGGCGAGGGGAAGGCCGTCGGCGTGGGCCGCCGCGTCGCCGTCCGTTCGGGGGCGCAACGTGATAAGTGCGTGCAGCTCGGAACGCGGGCTAGGCTGAGGCATCGTGGTGCGAGTGCCCGCTGGGATCTAGGATGGCATCGCGCCGAAGTTCAGGGCCCAGAACGCTGTCTTCATCTTGCCTAACAGCAGCCCGTCCACGCCGTCTAAGCCTCCCGTCCAGGGCCCGCTCGCCCCTCAATCCGTCCAGCCCGTGTTTGCCTCCTCGCGCCCGCTGACCTCCCACGAAGTGCCCCCGTTCTTGCGCAACCGAGCGGGGCAGCTGTAGTCGCGCGGCAGCGGCGGCCAGGGGGGGGGACGCTTTTCCAGAACGCGCTCCGAACGTGTCCAGGACGATTCGCCATGTCAGCGAGGTCCTGGGATTGGTGGATACTGGCGGTTTCGACCAGGCCATTGCGTGGGCATTCCCACGCACGGTGCAGGCTAGTTCCACGAGCAGCGCCGCAACGTGGACACAGCCCATTGGCGAGGTACCCGGCATCTTGAAGCCGAGCCCCAGGCCAGATACCTTCTGCAACAATGCAGGCCACCAAGGCCGCATCGCTGAAGTGATCATCCTTCAAAAGCTCGTTGTGTAACTTCCGAAACGCGGTGTCGTCGCCGCCGCCGCCCAAACCTTCGCCGCAGAAATGTTGAGCTGCCTGGCTAGAAAACACTCGGGAAGCGGTCTGCCGCGAGGCAGCGATGAGGCGGAACAGGACATCCGGATCCTAAGTGTTAAGGATGCCAGCTGGAGAACTCCAGGACGCAGACGATGTCGGGGCCCACTCGAGGTCAAGGAGAGTGCAAATGATGGCCGCGATCGGCCCGGACAGAGTACGCCAACGCCTTGCAACAGGGGGCAGTGCCATGAGCTTGGTACGGCGCCGAGCCCATGCGCGACGAACGCCCGCTCGCTGGCCAGATGATAGCCATTTCCATGCACTAGATAGGGCATCAGTTGTTCCCGTCGCAGCCGATATGCAGGGCATCTCGGAAGTCAGACCTGATGCTCGGGACCGTGATGGCACATGAACCTGGACTCCACAATCCTGAACGCATTGCGGCCCGCGGTCGGAAACGTTGGGGTCCTGCAGGGTCAGCCCGAGGATCGAGTGTCCCCGCGATCCAACACTTTAAACACGTGGCTTACAGATCTTACGCGATCGGCCGCGGGGGCGGGCGAGAGAAGCCAGCCGTCGCGAGCGCTTGGCAACGGTCTGCTGGCAGAGCTTGATCTTCCGCGTGCATCTCCTCCTACGTGCCGTAGTCATGGCCCCTAGACTGTTTGCCGTCAGCCTGAACTGAATCTCCACTCCTTCTTCCTCGAGATGTGCAGAGAACACCTTGGCCAGCGGCGCGCAGGGCGCCGCTGCCGCCGACTTTGATGAAATCGCGCGTCCCAAAGACTGGGCATCCTGGCGCAAGCTGGCAGCAGCGCGGGGAAGGGATCCAACGATAGACCGACGAGTACCTTGCATGTACTGAATATTGTCATCGATATAGGAGCGCATGGAAACAGCAGGCAGGCGAATCTGGGCACGCTGCAACACTCCATGCAAATGAGCCTTGGCCCCGCCAGGATCGATCTCCCCGCGCGCATGATATCCGAGACCGCCCCTCCACCTCAAGCGCTCTAAGACGCACGATGATTCCGAAGTGTAGTGCGTGGGATGACCGAGTCAGAACCGCTTCTTCATATCCCAGTGAAGAGAGGCCGACTCGAAGTTGAGGGCCCCCGCCACTTCGTGACGCAGCTCGCGCATGAGTGCAAGCAGAAGACTTACGCGCGCCGCGTTATCCCAGAGCTCCGTGTTCCCCGTGCTCCGCCCATGTATGTGATCACCACGCGTGAGTGCATGCATGCGGTGCATCGTCGAACGCTTCGAGGTCGCTCGCCCGTCGGCCTCGGACTTCGGAAGCAGGGCCATCACGTTCAAATCGCACTGCTGAGGTGAGGCCATGGCCTACTCGCGCGCCGTGAAGACCGCCTCGAGGCAGTGCGCAGCCTGAGCAAGCCGTCGAAGATAATCACGAAGAGTTCACTGGTCGACTCACAGCAGTGCCGCCAGGAAAACATGTGGCCGCCTGGAGGGCGCCCCTGGGCTCAAAAGCAAGGATGTTCAGAAGGGCCTGCTGCGCCGCCGCTCCGCGCTCATTGGGGGGGGGGGGGGGCCATTCAGGACCTCGAGGTGCTTCTGGGTAGAGGGCCGCCACGTAGACCCGCAGTGCTGTCGATATGACGTCACATCTCTGGGGCCCTGGCGGATGCCGTCAGGCGCGCGGAGTGCTCGACCGACGCCTAGGTGTTAACCTTCAACCGTGCGTGCGCCTTCCGAGCTCCTCCTGGCAAAGCCTCCTTTAACCACTTGCGTATGCCAGCGTCATCAGAGGCCCGGGCCTGGTTAACTGCGATCTCGCGTTCCTCGGATGCCCGGCCCACCAGGCGCCGCGCCGATGCAGGATCAAAGGAGAGGGCGGCCAGCAAAGCAGTCCATGCATGTGCATCCACGGCGGCGTGCAACTGCTCAAAGTAAAAATAACGCTTGGTGGGCCTGGTTCCCGATGCAAGCCGCCTGCGACCTAGCCTGCGCGAAGCGAACCTTGCCGCTCACTGCTCTCCAATGCCCGAACAGACGGGGTCGGGCAATGGACTGGGGGCGCGCGTGGGGAACGTTGAAATCCAGCAAGTTGGGGCCCTGCCGACGCCTCTGCAAGGGGCCCCCGCGCCCCGGGGCCCGCGCCGGATCCTCCGGGATAGCGCGAGCCCGAGACGCCGGCGACATGTCGGCAGCCCTGGGCCGCGAGGCATAGTCCTCCGAAAGCGAATCCGACGCGTGCTCTGAAGTATGCTGGAGAGTGGCCTCCTTAACGTCAGGCGGGGGCTGCCGATCGCAGCCCTGAGCGCAGGCGCGATGAAGATAGCGAGGCCAGGGATGCTCGGGCCCATGCGCGCGAGGGACAGCGCAAGCGCGGAGCCTGCGCGCCGCCTCCTCCGCGTGACTCTTGCCGAAGAGCTCGACGTGCAACCGGGCGTGTGTCGCAACTGGCGAGGTGGCCACCGTGGAGACAGACGCGCATGGTGGCAATGGCATGAGAACCGACCACATGCCCAATCATAGTATCACCGCGTCACAAGTACACCCGACATCCCGGGGCACCTTCACTCGGGAATTGGCGAGCTCCAGGAAACCAGCCTCGGCGAGCCAGCCGGGGGACTTATTCTAATCGACGCGTGGGTTTACGGGGGCGCTTAGGGCATGGGCAAACTCCGCGACCTGCCTCAGCCTAACCAAGTCCAACGAAATCCTCACCAGTCGCTCCAGTGGAACGCACCAGGTAAACGACACCCGTGGCCACCGAAACTCCATGAAGCTTGGCGTCCAGGATAAACCAACGCGTTCCTGGGCCCATGTTCGCCGCCTCGGAGGCCCCCGACAGAAAACGCTTGCAACGCAAACTCTTCTGACGCATAGCCGCCCCCCCAGTGAGTGCCGCCTCCAGGAGAGGGGGCAGCTGGCTGGAAGAATGGGCTCCGGCCCTCGACGCGTCAGTCCTTCTTGGCCTTGATGGTGCCTTCTGGGCGAGGGTGGTGCTCGGCGATGAACGCGGCGTCCATGTCCGAGGCCCTGGAAGAAAGCCCTCGGTGAGCTCGGACTAACTCGTCGCGTTGCAGAACTGAATCACGCACCTGTCGCCTTTGTCGCGCCTCCTCCTGGGCCGAAGGCGTGGCTGAGAAGAGCTTGAGCGACGGCGGTGGGGCTTCGCCCCCCGCAACTGGTTGGCCCCGCTGAGGACCAGCCTGGAACTGGGAGGCCACCGCTTCGCAACATGCAGAACAGCACACATGTTGTGCCTGAGTGCCGCCGCAGCGCTCGCTTGGCGCGCTTGCTTGCCCTGGCCACTGGGGCCATAGAGAGCAGTGCCCCCTGCCGTTCCGCAGCCGCGGGGCCCGGGCCTGTCTCGGCTGCCCGCCTGCGCAACTCGCGAAGCTCAGCGGGCTCATCGACGGGGAGATCGAGGGCCGCGCCGCCCGCGACGCGTCATCCGGGTTGATCTCGGCCGACCGCTGTTGCATGGGCACCTTCCGCATCTCGGCCCGCTGCCCAGGCGTGACGTGAGAACGTCCATCAAAACTATAAAGCTCTTCTTCATATCGAAGGATATCCACGCCACCTGACGCCAAAAACCCAGGTGCAGGAACAGGTAGAGGAGCAGGAACTGGTGCTACATGGCCTCCTGGAGCACCTGCAGGTGCGCCGCCGCCAGGACCAACAACCGCGGCCGCGGGGGCTGCCGCCGCAAGCGGAGCCTGGCCCCGCGCGGCAGCCGCGGCCGCTGCAGCCGCCGCCTCGTCCGCTTCAGCGCGCTCTTTGGCGCGGAGCTCAGCGGGGTGTTGTCTCTCGTCGAAGCTGTCCTTTGACAGGTTGGCAGCGCGCAGAGCCGCCTCCGTCTCGATGTGCCACTGGTGAGCTCGAGCGTGCTTCTGCTGCTCGGCTTTGGCGACCGCCCCGCGATGTCGGACCACCGCTTCGTGACGATGCTGTACATCAGATTGTGCCACAGGCTCCTCGCGGCTCGCTTGTTCAACATCTCGAGAGAGCTCTGTGCGCTTGGCTTGGACCTCCTTCTTCAGGTCATTGTCCGAAGCAGGCTCGCGAACCTCAGGAACAGGTGGAGCCGGTGCTGCTCCTCGAGGCTGCTGGAGGGCGCCCACCATGTCAGGGTACTTCGCCGCCACAAAGAACAGGTCGGGTGCGTTGACGCCGCCACTGCCCCTTCTTGCTGCCGCCCTGCTGCTGGGTCTGCTGCGCCCGCGGAGCACGGGCGCGCCATGCCATGATGAGTGCAAGGCAGGAGCGCTACACCAGTGCAGTGTTGGAGCAACCCAGCCTGTCAGCACCTGAACCAAAATGATTACGGGAGGAAGAGGAGGAAGAGGAGGAGGAGGACCAGGAGAAGGAAAAGGAGGAGGATGAGGACGACGAGGAGGAGGAGGAAAATGAGGAGGAGCATGATAATGATGATGATGACGATGATGATGCTGATGATGGTGATGATGATGATGATGATGATGATGATGAGGAGGAGGAGGAGGAGGAAGGAGTCATCAATTATGTTGGAACAAACTCTTCATCCAAACTCACTCTTCATAGGCCCCTTACAACGGTTCATTACCACGGAGGGAACTGCCTCGTTGGAAGACAACCGTTTGAATAAGCCTGAAACGTGCCGAAACATTGTTCTCGGGATTCCAACGCCACGGATCAACCTCATTGTTGCGACTTGACGATCCGGAATCGTGCCACAACGCCATTCCTGGGATTTCCACGCCGCGAATCAACGTAACTGTTGCACCCTATGATCCTGAATCGTTCCAAAACGCAGATCCTGTTACGTTGATCATGGGAGCCAGTGGAACTCGTACAAACTTTGAAAAACGAATGTGCGCGGCGTTAATGGGAGAGCCACATTTTGAAATGGGCCGTCCTCAATGCGTGAACCTCTTGCAAATGTTTGAAAACGAATGTGCGCGGCGCTCGGGCGAGAACCACATTTTGAAAACTGGTCGCCCCCAATCCGTGGAACTCTTGCAAATTCTTGAAGCGAAGGTGCGCGGCGCTAAAACGAGAGCCACATTTTGAAAACCACCCGCCCTCCATCTATGAAGTTGTTGCCAATGTTTGAAGCTTCAGAATCAAACATGGTGAGGAAGTCTCAAATGAAACACCCTGCCCGCCCTAAAAACTGGCTTCGGGGTGCGACAGGGAGGAATTAATTATAAGGACAAGAAATGGAGGAGGAAGAAGAGGAGGATGAATATGAGGAAGAGGGGGAAGAAACTTGACGATGATGATGATGATGATGATGATGATGATGATGATGATGATGATGATGATGATGATGATGATGATGATGATGATGATTTTGACGATGATGATGGTGATGAGGAAGAACATGAGGAGGGAACGATCAGGATAGGAGGGGAAGGGAAAAAGGATGATGATGAGGGGAGGGGGGAGGAGGAGGAGAGGGAGGAGCAGGAGCAGGAGCAGGAGCAGGAGGAGGAGGAGAAGGAGGAGGAGGAGGGGAAGGGGGAGGAGGATGAGGAGGAAGGAAGGGGAAGGAGGAGGAAGGAGGAAGCTGGACCTGGAGGAGGGAGGGTTTCCTGAATATCGTGCCGCTCGATACTTGATGACATATTCTTTGTCGTCTGCATTTTTATGCCCACCTCCTCTATCACATGCTATGCCATCGACCGTCTTATGTGCCAGTCCCTCGTCCCGTTTGGGCTGTGTCTTGTTGCCCACCCAGGGCTTACATATATCATAATGCACTCTCGCGCGGCGCTATCATAATGTAATGCCGTTCTGGTCCTCGTGTGCCAATCCTTCACACTGCCAAAACGATGCTGGCGACGGTCTGCCATCCAGTCGGGTCATTAGCGCATGATAGCATGGTGAGCCTCGCCCTCCATATGCGCTGCCTATGGGATAGCCAAGTGAAGGAAGGAGGACAAGGAGGAGGAAAATGAGGAGGAACGAAACACACGCTTTCTGCCCTGGCGTCCTTGCCGCTGCCCTGAGAATAGTAGCCGCCCCCGCCGCCGGATGCCTGCTGGGAGTAGTAGCCCCCTCCGCCTCCGCCCTTGCCGCCGTCCTCGGGCGAGCCGCAAGCATCGTCTGCGTCGTTTCAGAGACGGCCTCGGAGTCGAAGGATCGAACGATCGGCCTCTCGCAATTGGCGGAAGCCGGTGGAAGTGAGTCACGGGCGGCGTCAATGGCGGGAGCACTGCACGGGGTGACCCTCCAGGCAACTCTCTCTCTCTCTCTCTTTACCGCTTTGCTATCTGATATTTTATTCACATGTTGCTTGTTTGTTTGTTTTGTTTTGTTTTGACCACTTCTCTTTCCGTACATATCTATACATCAGTGTGAGAAGGCCGAACGGTCATTATGTCAATGGGCGTATGGCTCGTTGCGGATCGTTGCTGTTGATGTTGTTGTTGATGCTGTTGTTTGATTGTTGTTGCTGCTGTTGATATTGTTTATGATGGTGATGATGTTGTTGTTGTTGTTGTTGCTGTTGTTGTTGTTGTCGTCGTCCCCCCCGCGACCAAGCCCGCGACCCACCCGGGACCCATCCGCGACCCACCCGCGACCCGGCCCGCGACCCACCCGCGACCCACCCGCGACCCACCCCGCGACCCGCTCGCGAACCAGCCGCGACCCACAGCGACTCACCCACGACCTGGCCCGCGACCCATCCGCGACCGACCCCGCGACCCACCTGAAAATTAGGCGCCTGCGGGGGGCTTCTTCAGAGCCTCGCAGACTGTCGACGTCCCCGCCGCCCCCTCACTCTTATCCGCAACTGCGGGGTGCTTCGTGCATGTATATATAGATACATGCATACCTATATATTCCCTACGCGGTGCTTGAACTTTGGGTTTCTGATTCTTTTCTAAGGAACTAGGCCTGCCCGTCGGTCTGGCGGCTGTGGTTGCCGTCGCCGCCCCGTCGCCGTCTCGTCGCCGCCCGTCTGGGCCTGCCTTTTGGTCTGGCGGCTATTTGGTCGCCGCCGCCACCCTGTCGCCACCTAGATTGCACAACATCGATTGCACCACATAGACTGCATCGCGTCGATTGCACCACACTTATTGCACATGTACAACACCACAAATACTGCACTATATGTAGATACATTGAACAACATATATTGCGCAACGCATATTGCATGCTATATGTTGCGCAGCATCGAGTGTACCACATACATTGCACCACATATATTGCTCCACATATATTGCACAACATCGATTGCTAGACGCACGAAGTTTGAGGTCCACGCTGGCTGGCACACACTTGTGTGTTTACGTAAACTTGTGTTTTTTTTTGTATTCATTTTTTTTATACCTATGTATATACACACACGTCGGTGTACATGTAGCCATGTAGGCTTTGCTCTGAAATTTTCTTTCTGCCTCTATCTGTGCCTGACTCTATCTGCCTCGCTCTCTCTGGGATCGGCTTTGCCTTCCGCCAGCGGAGCTCGTTCTCGCTCTACCTCTTTTGTGAAATAAATAGTGTCAGTGCTGATCTGTAAGCAGTGTAGCATAGCGTGCCAGCAAGCAAGCAGAATGTGCTAATATTCAGACGGAAGGTAACGTGTCCTTTCGTAACCTTTTGGGCTCAATCCTTTAAGGGCCCTTGAGCTTGGGCGTGTCGGTAGACACCTCTGCAGGTGCCGCTAAGCAACTTACCATCGCCTATCATTGCTGATATATTGCTGATATATTTCCGTCATTGCTGACAACGACAACCTCGCGGTTATCATCGCACCCAGACCCCTCATGGCAACATCGGGTCTGCATTGGTAGCGGAGCTAACTCGACCACGGCAGCTACGTGCGCGACTTCGCAGAGTCATTTAGCAAGCACTACAGGCTCGTGATTTGGATTGCGACTGTACCTCTCATTCGAGGTCGCCACCATGGCGACGGCAGGAGGAGCCGCTGCAGCCAGCGGCGAGGACAAAAGCAACGGGGGCAAGATCCCCGTACCCGTCTTCGATGGCACGAGCAAGACCATGAAAAAGTACCGCCGAGAGGTCGCCACCTGGCAGATCGGGACCGAGGTCAAGCCGCCCAAGCAGGGAACGACCTTGCTGGCCAGCCTGAAGGGCAAGGCCGAGGAGGCGTGCGAGGAGCTCGACCTGGACGCCATCAAGGGCGACGACTCGGTGGAGGTGTTCCTGGAGTACCTCGGGAAACGCTTTCCCGAGATCGAGGTGCTGGAGACCCCAGCGCTGCTGGAGACCTTCGTGCGCCCGGCCTGCGTCCGGCACAAGGACGAGGATATCCGCGACTACAACAACCGCTTCAATGGGATCGCCACCAAGCTGAAGGCCAAGGGCATCCAGGTGCCCGACGAGGTCTTGGCGGACCTGTACATCAAGGGGGCCCGCCTGCCCCCGGAGCGCGCGGCGAGCGTGCTCAACGGTGTGGGCAACCAGTTCAACCCCACCAAGATCCAGGAGCAGTTGATGATCAACCTGCCCAAGGTATCGGTCGTGGACGGCAACAAGGACAGCCACGACAAAGGAGGCTACGGAGGTCACAATAACAAGGACCACAAGCGGGCGTACGCTACGGAGACCTACGAGGAGGATCGTAGGGCCGAGTTCGACGGCGCGTCCTCAGACAGCTCCGACGACTACGAGGACGAGCTGCCCGACGAGCTGCAGGACGCGATCGACGAGGCGGAGTAGCAGCTAGCCTTCTTCACCAAGAAAATTGTGCGCGCCAAGGACAAGCTGAAGGAGGCGAAGCAGGCGCGCGGCTACTTCGCCAAGCGCGACGGCGGCAATCCGCCGAAGAGAGACGATCCCAAGATCGCCAAGATGAAGGCAAGGACACACTGCGGCGCATGTGGCCAGAAGAGCCATTGGCGCGGTGACCCGCAGTGCTCGAAGAAGAACGGCCCTAACGCCAAGGCCGACATCCCGAAGAAGGGAAGCAACAGGACGAACATCGCCACGCACGAGACCAGCGACGCGCAGGAGCCTCACGTGGCGGAGATGACGGTCGCGGCGATCTATCAGCAGGACCAGCGGGCCGCAGCTCGCGACAGGAAGTACAGCGCGCTGCGCAGCATCGACGGGGCGCAGATGCGCCAGGCCGCCGGGCTACCCGAAGAAGTTACGGCAGCGGCGTTCTTCATCAACAAGGGCCACCAGTGCCTGATGGCCGCGACGAGCTCGGCGCTGATCTACCTCAGCGTCGAGGACCTGCTGAAGGAGTCGGGGGGCAAGCTGACCTTCGACACGGCCTGCGCGCGGTGCGTCGGCGGCCTCGACTGGTACAACGACATCAAGAAGAGGCTGGCCGCCTTCAACATCCAGCCCATCGAGTACCCCGAGAAGGAGCCGTTCTGGTTCGGGGCGTCGAAGGTGGTGTTCAGCCTCAAGGCGGCGCTGATCCCCTGTTCGGTGAACGGCAAGGCCTTCACCGTCCGCATGAGCATCGTGCGCAGCGCCGTGCCAGGACTGTTCAGCCGCAAGGCCCAGAGCGAGCTGGACACAGTCTACCACGCCGGAGACAACAAGCTGGACATCAAGTCGATCGACGAGCACGACATCCAGATGGGCCTGAGCCGCGCCGGACACCCGACGCTGGACATCGCAGGCTTCACGCCGAGCTACAAGCCCGTGTCGGACGTCTCGGATACCAAGGCCGAAATTCGTCTCCACCCTTGCGCTTCTTACCACGCTGAGACAGCTGTGGCCAGCGCCGCCAAGCCGGTGGTGCCCGAGGCTCGCCACCAAGGGGTCGCCTCGGAGGCCGACGAGTCTCAGCCGGACACTGACTGCGACGCGCTCGATCGCGCCGAACTGTTTGAGCAGCAGGTGCGCCAGGCCATGAGCGCATACATTCCATCGCGTCAATCGTCGTCGGGATCGGAAGACGAGGCCTGGGGAGTGTGTACTAGGTCAGTCAGCACAGCGCAGATTATGCAGACAAACCACGATCATGACGAACGAGAAGCTAAACCTCGCAGCGATCCTCCGTCACGGCGTGTTCGATTTCAGCAGCAAGCAAGCCGTAGCGAGCCACGAGATCAGCCATCAGCACGCAGTCATCAAACTACACTATCACCGCAGCCATCCGGCTCGAGTTCAACTGTGGCTCCACCAGCGAGTACGACGCGTGCCGTGGCAGATCCAGCCACCGCAGCTTTCCACGAACCAGCGGCCGGCGCTTATGCCCCCGCCGCGCCAGCGATGCACGACATCTCCCAAGGAGACGAGCCCGGGGAGCAGCAACCATAACTTGCCGACGACGAGTACTGCCCGTCTCCCGGCGATATCCAGCATGCGGATGCCGGAGCTGCAGGCCGAGGTGGCAAACTACGACTTGGATGTGCGCGACGCCACGTGCGACCAGCTCCGGGTGATCTTGCGTGCGCTGAGGGCCGAGGGCCGCGAGAGCACGCCGCAGGACGACTACGTCCCGGGGCTTGGCAAGAAGAACAAGGAGGAGCTCCAGCAGCTGTGCCGGGACCGCCAGATCGAGTTCGACCAGCGCACGACCGTGCCGGAGCTCAGGCAGCGCCTCAAGGGCTGGAAGGTCGAGGACGCGGCCAGCAGTGCCTCGGCAACGGTGGCTCATCCGAGCTCACAGATCACCGGGGCCGACAAGATGCGCTTCGGCAAGTACCCCACGGCGGACTACCGCTGGGTGCTCAAGAACGACCTGGGCTACGCGCAGTGGGCGGTCCTGGAGCTCAACAGCAACCAGGCAAGCCCGCTCCTGGCGCGGTTTGCCAGGTGGGTCAAGGCGCGCGGAGTGCAGCCCCTTCCCCCGGGGAAGGCCAAGACCACCTTGGAGGCAGTGATGGCCGAGGAGGTGGTGCTAGACGACGAGTGGGTGGCGCCAGCGGCGACGACCACGAGGGCCTCAGCAAGCCAGGGGAGCTGGGCCGGGCATCGGCGCCAGCGTCCTCCGGCGCCGCACGAGATGGACACCAGCGACATGGGCTTCGAGAAGGCGGGCGAGACCGACAGGGAGGATCACCCGAGCGCCTCCAGGGAACCTCAGCAGAGCCGAGACTAGGCGGCGGTGGCCGCCAGGACGGGTCGCCAGCCCCGAGGCGGCGGCCAGGCATCAAGAAGGGCAATTGCGTCGGCCTCCTCTACCAGGTCACGGGCTTGCTGAGCGCCTTCGCCTTTCAGACGGTGCTCACCGCGGACTGGCTGGCTAGACCTCTCAGGCCAGTGGCGCAGCATGCTACCAGTGCTGCGCGAGACGTGGTCGACCACGTCCAGAACGTCAAGGAGGCCTACAGCGTTCGCAGCCACCGCGTGGGCGTCATGCAGGTGTTCGGAGGCGAAGGCGGCATCACCGAGGCGGCGTGGAAGCGCCAGATGACGGCCACAGAGGTGATCGACCGCAAGTACGGATGGGACGTACGCAAGCAGAAGTATCTCGACGCGACGTACGACCTGTACTACGTCTCAAGGCCGAAGTTCGTGTCAATCGAGCTACCCTGCACCCACTACACGAACATCACGCACCTCAACTTTCGGACGCCGCAGGCCAAGCAGGCGCTCCGGCGGATCTGGAGGGCGGAGCGGCCGTTCCTTTTATTGGCCCGCGACCTCTTCAAGTACCAGCTCGACTCTTGCGACATGGCCATGATCGAGAACCCGGCCACCAGCCGGCTCTGGACACAGCGCGCGATTTTGGAGCTACTGGCAGACGAGCGCGTGTACCAGGTGAGGTGCGACATGTGCGAGTACGGAGCTCGACACTACAAGACGGGGGGACTCATCAAGCACCCCACGAAGCTGCTCGTTGCCCACAAGGAGTTCGAGCAGCTGAAGCGCAGCTGCAGCCGCAAGCACCACGGCCAGACCTTCGGGGACAACGTGGCGGTGCGCAAGTCTGGCGTTTATCCTGCTAAGTTCTGCAGAGCGGTGGTGCGCATCGTGGAGCAGGTTATTCGCCAGCAAGGTGGGCAGCGCGCCTACCAGGTGGACTGCCAGTCGCACTCGTCGCCCTTCATCGTGACAGTGCCCAGGGAGCAGGCCACCGCCTACGTGAACGACACCGCGCCCCTGGGAGAGACGGGCGAGCCTGATGGGGGCCCAGACCCCATGGGCGGCGGAGACGACTTCGCCGACACTCACGACGTGCGGGCCGAAGATACTGTGGACGGCAGGATCGGGGTCCGCGCGATTACCTTCACAAAGAAAGCAGCGGCCTGCTGCAAGCCAGCCGAGCTGGCCATGCTCAAGAGACTCCATGTCAACTTGGGCCATCCGTCTAATGAAGATTTGGGCCGCAGTTTGCGACTCAAAGGCGCTAAGTCGGCCACCGTCCAGGCCGTCAAGGGGCTGATCTGCGGGGTGTGCCGCTCGCAGCAGCGCCCGAGCGCGAGGAGACCAGCGCACCTCCACTTCGTGCAAAATTTCGGAGACGACGTCGGCTTCGACTGTTTCGAGCTCAAGGACGTCGACGGCAAGAGCTACTGGTACTCCAGTATCGTCGACCTGGCTACCACCTTCCACGTCGCGACGCTGATCGGTCGCCACACCAGCCAGGAGTTCGCCGCCGCGTTCGAGAGGTGCTGGGTGTCCTGGGCGGGCGTACCGGACCGAGTCCACTTCGACATGGAGAAGGGGTTCGGCGGCGCCCTCAGCGAGCTGTTCCAGTCATTCAACACGGTGCAGCTGCCCATCGCCGGTCAGGCACATTGGCAGCTCGGTCGCGTGGAACGCCAGGGAGCTTGGTGGAAGGAGCTCGCGGCGAGGACGATCGAGCACTCGTCGATCAGGGGCGAGGGCGAGATGCGGACGCTGGCCATCATGGTCTCGGGCGCGAAGAACTCGCTGAGAAGGCGAGCAGGCTTCAGCCCCGCGCAGTGGGTGCTGGGACGCGACCCCAAGATGCCCGGAGACCTAGTGGACGATACGGCCAACTACAGCGCCCACAGCCTCGCGGCCAACGACGAGAATATTCGCCGACGATATGCTATTCGGACGGCGGCGCGCGAGTCGTTCATGAGGATGCAGAACGACGACCAGCTCCGGCGAGCTATGTTGGCTCGCGCGCGCACGGTTGCGACGCCCTTGTCAGTGGGCGAGATGTGCTACGTCTTCCGCCAGGTCAAGAAGAAGGAGCAGCGGGAGCAGCACAACCGCAACGCCAAGAAGGGCATCTGGCGGGGGCCGTGCGTAGTCATCGGCCACCAAGGCGAGAACACCTGGGTCTCGCTAGGAGGGCGCGCCATGCTGGTGGCCCCGGAGCACATCAAGGCACTCGCTCCGGACGACGTCTGGTTCCCGAACGGCAGGGGCGAGATTGGTCAGGCCGTGGCCGAGCTCAACCGGGCTCGCGACTCGCTCGAACAGGAAGAGGCTCCGGTGGAGGACATCCGCCCGGCGCCTGGCGAGCCCGAGGTCAAGCCAGACGAGGTGGAGCAGGCGTGGCGGGAATTTATCGACAACCCGGACGAGAAGCGACCTCAGGCTGAACGTCTCCGAGGATCCGCCCCAGCAGGAGCAGATCCAGGTGCTGCCCGCCGACGTGCCGCAGCAAGCTGAAGAAGAGCGAACCTACGGCCCTGACGAGTTCCGACGACGTCGAGCTACCTTCGACGGAGGGGGCATCGGCGACTTCGGCCTGGCCTTCAAGCGCCTCCAGACCGAGAGGGAGCACGCAGGCTCTGGCGCCCTGCCCGCAAAGGCAACTTCGCGCGACCGCGCGGCGGCGCCCGATCAAGGGGCAGCAGCCGGACCCGAATCAGAAGGAGCCCGCCAGCGTTCGAGGTCGGCTCCAGGACAAGTACTGCAAACCTCCATCGTGACCGAGAGGATCAAGCGCAAGCAGGCCGACAAGGAGATCCACTGGAGGGCCATCAAGGACTCCGATCGGGAGCTCTTCAGGGAGGCGGCCGCCAAGCAGTGGAGCGAGTGACAGAAGTATGGCTCTTGTTAGGTACTCTCCATCGAGGAGTCCGAGGCGATCAGGGGCATGATCGAGCCCAGCCTCATCCTGCCCAGCCGGTTCGTGTACCGGGACAAGAACGCCCCGCTGCGGACCGACAAGCGTCCGCTGCCGGTCAAGGCGAAGGCCCGACTCTGCGTCGGGGGTCACATGGACCCGCGCCTCGCTCAGGGCGACCTGCGGACGGACGCGCCCACGGTCACCCGCAACTCGACCATGCTGTTCTTCACCATCTGCCAGAGGTTCGACCTGGAGATCTACGCGGCGGACGTGGAGGCGGCTTTCATGCAAGGCGACGAGCGGCCCGACCAGCAGCTGTACATGGCCCAGCCTCGCGAAGGTCTGCCTGGGCTCAACCCGAAGCAGCTGATCAAAATCCTCAAGGGAGTTTTCGGGCTGGCGACGGCACCGAGACAGTGGTGGGCGAAGCTCAAGAGGACCTTGCTCGCGGTGGAAGAGAAGCTGAGCGACAACTGCGTGTTTCGCCTACACCAGCACTCGCTGGACCCAGCGCTGTACTACGGCTACGACCAGCACGGGGAGCTCTGTGCGGTGGTGGTCGCCCACGTGGACGACTTGCTGCTGGGGATCTCGCACAAGTGCCCGGGCCTCTACGACAGGCTTCACAAGCTGTTGCCCTGGGGCGACTGGCGAGGCTTGCCTTTTACCTTTTTGCGGCAAGCAGGCCTGGCGATATCAAGAAGGAGTGCTACATCTACGGCAGACCGAGTACGCGAACACCATCGAGGATATTCCGCTCAGCAAGGAGCGCAAGACGGAACTGTCGTCAGATGCTACGCCAGCTGAGTTCTCGGACAACCGCTCCGCACTCGGAGCGCTCGGGTGGCTTTCATCGCAGACTCGTCCCGACCTGGCAGCTGGAGTGGCCATGGGGCAGCGAACCCAGAACAAGCCCACCATCCAGGACTTGCTCGAGACGAACAGGCTCATCAAGCTGGCCCGGAAGCACGCGGACGTGGGTTTGGAGTTCCCTAAGTTACGTGGACCTCTTTGCCTGGTGACGTTCCACGACGCCAGTTGGGCCAACGCTGATGAGCCAGCTGAAGGCGCCAACTCCAAGTTGCTCGCCAAGACCGTAGGAGCAACCAGTAAGGACAAGAAGATCAAGATTCGCTCGCAGGCCGGCTACGTGAGTTTTCTCGCAGAAACCAAGCTACTACGCGGAGATCGAGCTCGTGCAGGGATCGTTGATTGGAGATCGGGCACCATCAAGAGAGTTTGCAGATCTACGTTGGCAGCCGAGACGATGTCGGCAGTAGGCGCTCTAGGCTGTGCTCTGATTACACGCTGTGTTTTCGCTTCGCTAGAGATTCCGGATGCCCATCCAGAGGACCAGCTTGTACGATACGATGCACAAGGACGGTTATTCCAAGCTCCCGTCAGAGCGGCGCCTTTTGCTTGACCGAATGGGCCTCAAGGAGTCACTAGAAGAGGAAGTTAGCAACGAGTTCGTCGCTGACGATCAGCGCAGCCAGCTACCTCTCTTTTGGGTTCCGACTGATCAACAGCTCGGTGATCAGTTCACCAAGCGATCGGACGGCAGTGCCATCAGGGCAGTGCTGCGAGACACACGCCTCGCTTTGCAGCATCAAGAGCAGACTGACCAGGCCAGAGAGCATGAGGCACACCTGACCAGTGCCGGCTTACTTTTCAAGCGCGCGGTGCGCCTGGTCTCATTTTAGCTCGTTGACGTGCCATTACCACGTCTAAATGCGCTATATCGGTAGATGCACAGATCAGAAGAATTCTGCACGAGTGTGAAATAAATAGTGTCAGTGCTGATCTGTAAGCAGTGTAGCATAGCGTGCCAGCAAGCAAGCATAATGTGCTAATATTCAAAGGGAAGGTAACGTGTCCTTTCGTAACCTTTTGGGCTCAATCCTTTAAGGGCCCTTGAGCTTGGGCGTATCGGTAGACACCTCTGCAGGTGCCGCTAAGCAAGCAACTTACCATCGCCTATCATTGCTGATATATGGCTGATATATTTCCGTCATTGCTGACAACGACAAGCTCGCGGTTATCATCGCACCCAGACCCCTCATCGCAATATCGGGTCTGCATCTTTGGTCCCCGCCAGCACTTCGACGAGGGTCCGCCCCCCGACTCCTCGAAGACGAGCCCCGTGCTGGAGCCCTCCAAGAAGAGCGAGCTGGCGGACGTGAAGCCAAGGGCGGCTTCGAGCACGCGAAGGGCAACGCGTGGGGCGCACTGGCTCGGGGGGGGGGGAACGTCGAGCTGGACTCGGCGATGCATCGCCGAGTGGCTCACAATAGTCAGTCCGCACTTTTTTCACCAGCCGAGAGGAGCCCTGCGGCAAGAGAGGGAGGAAAACGACGACGAGGGACGACACGACAAATGGCGCGGGGGGGCGGGCGGACTCCTGGGTAAGGTGGGCTATTGGGCCCCTGTCGGCCATCGACGCGTGGCCACCTGAGCCTACCCCCCCCCACGTTGCCCCAGAGTGCTGAAGCCGGCGGAGGCAGAAGCGGGCTCCCCGAGGAAGGCCAGCGCTGGATGCGCCCAAGGCTTCCGGAACTGGTCACTCCACACCTTGGCTCCCCCTCCTAAGACGAAGCCAGGACGAGGGCAAACTCGGGTGGGGATAAGTCGAAAACCTCTGAGATCCCGCGGCTCTGGAGGATGTCTCGGGCGCCGCGGCCTTTTCGCCCTGGAACGGATTTATCCTCGTCCAGGCCCCGCCCGATCTCCGGCGGTGCCCCTAGGGCGCTCCGCGCACCAAGGCAAGGGTGTTGAGATCGCCCCAGACTACTCGGGGGCCTGTGGAGGCCAACCGGGACTACCCGCGGGGGCTGTCTGTGAGGCGCAGCTGCTGGGAAGCACCCCGAAGCCGGAGGGCCCCAAGAGGCTCCCAAGAGGCCCCAAAACGGCCCGCAAAGGCTTCAAAAGTGTCTTCAAACGTCCACCGAGAGGCCTCCCACAAGATTCCAACGAACATCCACCACGCTCCTCCGGTGTCCTCTCGAAGGAGAGCCGCCTAGCATGCTGGGCTGGCACGGTGGCAGGTCTTGCCGCAGGCAGCTGGATCCGCCGCCCCCTTTTGATTTATCAAAGGGGTGCCTGGCGTGTTAAATCCAATCGGTTTGATTTTGGGTCTTTTTCCAAAAGAACTCCCCCTGGGGATGGCCCAAGAGCCCCCAAAAATTGCCGAAAGATCGCCCGAGAGGCCTCCAAGATGGCCCCGGCCCAAGAGGGCCCCAAGAGGCCCCCAAGACGGCACAGGAGGCCTTTAAGACGCCCAAGATGGCCTCCAAGACGGCCCTGGATCATTCCAAGAGGGCCCCAAGTCGGCCCATAGAGGCCCCCCAAACGGCTTCCGACGGCGTCAGACGGACCAGGAGCCCACCAAGACGGCCGAACATGGCCCTAAGATGGCCCAAGACGGTCCAAGAGGCCTCCAAGAGGGTCTCCAGGAAGGCCCGACAAGGCCCAAATCATTGATTTCCCATGGGTTTTTGAAGGATTGTGGCATTTTTTTTTTTTTTTTTTGCCTTCCGACGGCCCGAGACGGCCCAAGTGCCCCCAAAGATCGCCCAAGAGGCCCAAAACACGGCCCCAAGAGGCCTCCAAGACGGCCCAAGGGTCTCCAAGACGCTCAAGATGGCCTCCAAGACGGCCCAAGAGCCCTCCAAGACGTCCTCCAAGAAGGCCCGAAAGGGTCAAAATGGCCTCCAGACGGCCAAGATGACCTTCAAGATGCCCACGTGTTCCCCGAAGGCTTTCCAAACCGATTCGGGGAACACATGGTCCGATAGCTTGGCAGGTCTGGCCTCAACGTTCGGCCACATAGGCGCTTCCAAAAAGGCAGGGGGCGGCGGTGATTCGCCGCAGGCGTCTTCGATAGATGTGTGCGTGTAGATATGTCTACATACAAGCATACATGCACACACATACATACACACACATACATATAGACATGCATGCGTATATCTGTATATATATATACATACATTCCGACATGAGAACTTGCCTCTGTAGGGGTCTTGTCGGATTCACATGGTTAGGTGAAAAGTGCCGCCGATTTCGGTGGCCGGCCCGGGTGCCCGGGTGCCCGGGTGCCCAGGTGCCCAGGGGTGCCTGGGTGCCCAGGTGCCCGGGTGCCCAGGTGCCCGGGTGCCCGGGTGCCCGGTCGCCCTATAGCCCTATCGCCTTATAGCCCTCTAGCCTTATAGCCCTATAGCCCTAATAGCCCCATACCCCATATAGCCCAATCACCCTATAGCCCTGTAGCCGTATAGCCGTATAGCCGTATAGCCCAATAGCTCAATAGCCCAATAGCCGTATAGCCCTATGGCCACATAGCCCTATAGCCCTACAACCCTATAGCCCTATAGCCCCATAGCCTTATAGCCGTATAGCCCTATAGCCCTATAGCCCCATAGCCCTGTAGCCCTACAAAAATATGATTGGGTTCTTCTCAGGTATCATCTGTGTGTGAATGTATGCATTTGTGTATGTATATATGCACGTGCGTATGTATGCATGCATGCATGCATGTATGTATGTACGTATGCATGCATGCATGCATGCATGCA